AGGAACTGGTAACCAATCTAGTGCCTAATGAGGCTGTTGCTACTAGAACTACTTTCTGTGAACCTTGTACAATTTCAGCATACTTCCTTGTGCTGAAAACTGTGGTGTTTATGACTTATTCTGTGTTTTCCAAAGCCAACCTGTCATCCATAGTATCCAGTGGTCGTTTCCATTTGGTTACAGTTAAGGTAAGTCCTATATATCAGGCCCTGCTTCTCAACCCCTTAGCTGCCCATGGCTAGAGCTCTTGTCTTAAAACCCAAAAATAGATGTATAATTACTATATCAAATCTTTTACAGAAAATCTTTTCCATCACAGTGTAGTTGAGCCAATACTAGTCAGTGCCAGCTACATTCTTTTTTATCCTTTTCCTTTTGAAGGCAGCAGCTTAGTATAGGAAGGAGAGCTCAAATCTATTTCTGTATCTTTTCTCTTCTCATGGCTCAAGACTAAATTCCCCAGGTAAGACACATTCTGTCCAATGATTATTCAATCAACAAAGGGGCGACAATGAGAAGATGGATTTGGAATAATAAAATAGTATCATCCAAAGTACCCTGACAACTGCTTCTCATGGTCTTACTACCTCCTTGCAGACGCAGTTTCAACTATTCTATGTCTATATACTAAATACCATGGGTTACTGTGCCAGACAAGGCATACAGGATTTACCAAGCAGTCCCCTTCATGTGCTTTGAGTTAAAATGTTATTCACATACAGGAGTATTAAAAACTCCATGCTTCAAATCCTGCCCTTAATAGGAAGGATCACATATTTTTCATAATTCTCTCACTTGAATAGAATCCGTCCCCTTGGAATCATGTAGTTACAGACAGTAAAAATGACAATTTCTTCCATATAGGTCCAAGATGACCACCTGCACAAAAACAGTCTTAAGATTAGAGGAAACTGTCACTTCTCCAATTCTTTTTTACTCACTCACTCATTCATTCATTTTAGAGAGAGGGAAAGGAGTGAGAAAGAGGGAGAAAAACATTGATGTGAGAAACATCAATGTGTTGCCTCTCACACACCCCCAACCAAGGACCTGGCCCTCAACCCAGGCATTGTGTCCTGACTGGGAATCAAACTGGTGACCTTTTGGTTTGTGGGAAGACACTCAGCCAAGTGAGCCACACTGGTCAGGGCCTGGCCAGTTCTTTAGGAAAATGCAAGCCACAGGTCTTCTAACCCCAAATCCCAAAAGGAACTCATTTATAATGAGCCAAGGTGAATCACCAAAAGGTGGTCTTACCCACTTCAACCATATAGCTAACAATTATATCTAGCATTAATTTGTTTACTATGTGACACTGTTGTGCTTACATGTATATTCTAATTTAAAACCCACTACAGCTCTATGAGATAGTCAATATCCCCGTTTACTGAGAAACAAAAGCAAAGAGATTCAGTGACTTCATATTCGTTAAGTGGCAATAGCTATATAAACTTGGTCAATGATTCCCAAGGCTTATCTTGCAACTGGAATCCATGCCTCCACATGTTCCATTTGACTGTATTTCCCTGTAAGCGTAATGATATGAAGTAGTCTGCTGAAGGTTAGCTATGATTAGAGTGAGGTATCCCCAACTAAAAGCTATTCATAACCCACTCCTTTCTGTAAGAATGTACCCCTTCTCATAAAAGAGGCTTAGAAACTAAGTGATCTTAGATCTGGGTTCAACTCAGCAATGTTTGCACTGTGACACTTAAGCAAGTCATGCTCAAAAGACTTCATGTACCTCATCTATATGGTGTATATTTATATACACAATTCTAGTTAGCCTAATAAGAATTACATAGCTAAAATCTATACACCAAAAAAATCCAATGGAATTTAACTGTAGTAAAACCACACTATGCAAAGGAACCTATCTGCACAGTAATTGAAGAGCAATTTGTTAAGCTCCAGAACTATTGCCAAATGCCCTCTGGGAGTCAGGGAGGGCACAACAGCTCATTGCCAGAGACTGATCCCACACCTTTCTCTATTCTCATTATAATACATTTGGCCTTCCAGGGATATTGTCAGAATTATTGACTGTTTAAAAACAAATGTGTGAAAGGAAAAGGGGAGATTTATTTTAGGCCTGCACGGTGAATCTAAGGTGGTTCTTGTAGATTATACAGTGAAGTCCTCACAACCCACCCTACCTTTAATATTCTATATATTTTTCCTCCAATTTTTCATCCTACCTGCAAATTGTTTCATTACTGAAGTTTCCCAAAGTGACAGGCTGTAAGTATAAGCTATTCGCAAGTACCCTCAAATCCAACTTCTCTTTTCCAACTTACTTTATACATTGCTTTGGTCTTACCATATGCATTCAAATGATGAGGGCTTTCACTCCAGGAGCGTTATGATACTGATTCAGAGTATACATGGAAAATAAACCAGATTGGGTAAATGAAAAATCATTAGGAATGCTGGTCATTGGTAGAAATGCTACGGGAAACCTAGGAACTACTGGCACTAAGAAACCCTCAAAATATCACTTTTACCAAGCTAAGTGAAGCAATACAGCTGAGAAGTTAAAGGTATGAGACCTATTCATTTGGCTACCGGGTCTCTGTGCTCCCTGATTTGGTAGAAACTCTAAGAACTATCTTAAGGCCTTTCAATAGTTTTTCCTGACACCCTTCATCATTTTTAGAAGTTCCATCTATACCTAGCAGCTTTCCTGCTAAATGATTCACAGCTAATACATAATTGTATGAGCTTCCCTAATTCTACTAGAACCATTAACATTGCCTTTCCCTAAGAAACCAGGGAAAATCTTATGACCAAGGGTAGAATAGTAATTTGACAGGAGGCACAAATTAGTCTGTGGGAGTGGCTTGGCATGGACAAAACATAACTAGGAGCAATGGTCACCCCATGCTTATCCCGCAGAAAATACAAAAGTGAGAAGGGCTATCAAATACTTTATTTTCTAAATATTCCTGCTGTCATTTTCAAATTGCCATATCTGACTTTTTCTTAGTAAATAGGAAACATGGTGCTTTTCATTTCCTCTCCATTACAGGATTACAACAGAATGAAAATTTTGAGGGCCAAAGGTACCACGAACCAAAGAATACATATAAAATGACAAGACTAGAAGTCCACCCAAGGAGACAGAAGCTGCCAAGAGTCAGAGGCATGGAAGACCCATAAAAACTTAAGAGCTCTTTCCTAACCTCTCTACCCACTTTCCCCATGGGCTTTATCCCTGTCCCCACCTACCCTTGCAAAGAAATGGAAGTAGCAGTGGGAACCTAGGCCCATTCCCTCCAAAAGCAACACACCAGGTCACAGGGCAATTTTATCACATCACATCCTACTCATTTGTAATAACAAGATTTGATTGTAGCACATAAGGCAAGAGTTCTTTGGGCACCAGTGCTAAAACCACATGTACTGAATAGTCACTTGGCCCACAACAGTTTAAGTCTTTCTTCTAAAAGCAATACTTCCCAGTATAATTGCCAACAAAGGAATAGAAACTCTTGCCTATAAATACTGCACTAAGTCATATGCTTATGAAGTCACCAATCTAACATTTGGTGTCGGGAGCAAACCAATAGCTGACCCATGACACAGTCGGGACAGATGAGGCGCGACTGCACAGCAGAAGCAGCCACGGCTGGATCTCTTGGTCATCCTTCGTTGCATGCCTGCTATTATTGGTGGTTGGTGGTGGGGTTTTATGGCGCTTGTATTTTACTGCTGGAAACTTGCACAATTCCCCTAATACTGCCCAGAAAGAATTATTAATTGCAGAGCAAAAGCCCATGACACACCCCGCTGCTTCCCACTTCCCCTGTCAGGAAAGTTAATATTAGACATTGGGCAGACCAGCTGCCAGAAAAGTGGAGAAAAGGTCTATTGAGAATTCCCCGTGGTAGGACACCTCCTCCCAGAATTATGGAGACCACTACCCCTCCTATACCCGGGGCAGGAGCAAGGATTAATGGAGACATATGGGTGAAAAGGCCAGGGAAGTTAGGCATTATGATTTAAGTACTTGGGAACACACACATAGAAATCCTCCTCTTTGTGTATGGCTTCAAGCTAAACCTCCACAGAACAGCCACTAGGGCTGCTGAACCAACCCTCTACGACCTTGGCTGGCTCTAAAGACTGCACATGACACAGGGGCTGCACTTAAACAATACAGACATCAACTCTCTCCCTAGACAGCTAGCCACTAAAGGCTTAAAAATAACCTTTATAGAATAACTGCTCTATTGAATTTTTCTTAACCTGTTAATTTTTGAGATTTATTGATAGACATTCAGTAGGAGGTAATATTCTGTACTTCTCGCTCTATTTGAATGTCTGAATAGCCCTCTTTGTCAGAATAACCTTTGTCTAGTACTATTATACCTGTAAACAATGGTACTTTTCCAATCAAAGTAACTTTTACTAAAAATTAAGTCTCCCTGTACTACACTGTGCTATTTTTTGTAGTAACCTTTTATGTAATCACGCCATGTATCAGTTCCTTGTTTTATCCCTATAAAAATAAAGTTTCTGAGCTTAAAGGCTGTCAGTCCAAACTCACAAGTCTGGCTGCCCTCCCGCACCTCACCGTAGTGTCCTCCTGTTCCTTCGCCGAGCCATCTCTCCTTCGGGGACCCTGAGACCCGCCAAGGCTGGATCCCAGCAATTTGGGTATTTACTCACTCAGAATTCTAGGAACATCAGTGATTCTTTCACGAACTGAGAGATTGGGACTGTTCACTTCTTTAAGTACAGTGATTTCCTTCTTGAATACATCCTACTTGCCACACACTTACAAATGGTTTTTCATGCCCTATTCACACCCTGCTATTTCCTCAAATGTTTTTTTGCTTCTCAATTTTATTGGCTTTGTGCTGCTCAGTATTCTTGACCAAAGCAAATGAAGTTAGAAAGAAATGAGACAGCAAATCATTTACCCATACTGGCTGATTAAGGTGGTTAAAGAAAAAAAGAAAAAAAGAACAAGTGTGTAAGAATAGACAATGACATATAACTTATGACATCAAAATACCAAGTTTTCAAAACCATACTTTTATTTGACATTAGAAAACATACTCCCTAATTTGTCTTAATTGTGATACATAGATGGCTTTAGATTACTTTGATCTATGCTTTGATGATCACCATGCTAAGCAAGATTTGTAAATTTTCAACAAAGTTCACAGATTCTACATTTCATATCAGTTCACAAGTCCAAGTGTTTCTTCCATTTTGGCATATATTCCCTTTGAGGTAGGATAGAGATGAAGCCATTTCTTACAAAAATGAATTTGTTCACTACTTCATTTATGTCACAAAAAATCAGATGATGGTACTATGTTTTCTTTTATCAGTAGTGGTAGTCTTAGGATGCCAGAGACTGTGAAAGGAAGGCTTGTGGTTACTTTCGCCTTTGCATTTTCCAACAGTGCACCCTCACTTCCACATAAAGAATGTTTCTTAACCAGTCTAAAACAAAGGCAGGGTGCCCTTAGAAACAGGTTTGACCTTTTCTTTCACTCTTCCTCCTATCCCACCCTCTATGAGTGATTTAAAAATAGAAAAGGTCAAAGCCCAGTTGGGCCTAGATTTAGAGGTTTGGGTTTGCCAATTACTTCCAATTATTATTCTTAAAATTTAAGCAATTTAAAATTGTTAAGCCATTTTCAATCACTGACATTATTCTACCATAACAAGTCTTTTCATGAACAGGTTTTAGGTGCTTATAAGGTGGTACCTAAGGTTTAAGTAGAAAATATGTTGCAAGAGAAATCATGTCTTCACCTCCAATCTTGCTATGCAGTATCTGGGGATTGTTCTTCAGAGATCTATTTAGGCAGTATATATTTGTCAGAATATAAAAGGTAAAGAATTGAAAACAGACAAACTGATAAAGGAAGTGACTTCAGTATGAGTGGTTCCCCAAGGCTAGTACAATTGAGACTGGAGTCTGGGAATCTGTCACCCCTCCCTCTGCCTAGCAGTGGCCATAGCCATTTTTCATGGGACAAGCTAGGAAAAATGAAGTGTCTATTTATAAGGAGGGTTTCTGCAACTAAAGGAGCAAGCTCAATGGAAAACCCTGCTTATTGTAGTGGCCAGAGTGAAAGAATTATGGAGTAGGAATTAAACCACACAATGTTGTTCAGGTGCTAAGCCATACCCCTAACAAGAAAACAACCCAAAAGTTTTAAACTTTCTCTGGGAAGGCATTCATTTTTTTCATGTCTCTGGGGTCAACTGAGTACCTAGCAAAGGACCTTATATACAATAGGTACTCAAATATACTTGTAGAATGAATGAACAAGTGGAAAAAAAAATGAATGGAACATCTATGTAGTCTCCAAGCCACTTAAAAAAACAAATGTCTTTCCGTTAAGATCTTTTTTGATTTCTGTCTAGGAGTTAGCACATTGTCTTCAAATAGACAATTCTGTTTAAAGATTTTTGTTCTATTCCTTGCTTTTTTTATTGCATCTCCAAGATCAAGTGCCTTTTATACCAGATCTACATTTAGCATCACCTCCAATGTTTGTATGAATGCATAAAAAGCTCTCTCATCCCCACTCTATGAAAGATGCCAAAGAGAAGATGATCTATTCAATCATTCCTTCTCAGTGTCTTACTATCACAGATGTTCAATGAATTTTATTAACTAGTGAAAAGACCTGCAGTCATAAAATGTATTCTTGTGTTTCAACAATAAGCAACTGAGATTAAAGTACATTTTGGTCTTTTGAATCTCTTCATTCTCCTCAGCACTTAAAGACAGTACTTTAATCAGAGTAAATAAACGTTTACAACATATGGAAAAACTAGAAAAAAATCTTTTTTTATTCTTCAAGTGGTTTCCTCACTTTAAGCCATATCAATGAGCAAATACTTTTAAAACCACTTGTTTCATCTTCTCATCTTAAACTGTTTATAATAAAAACAGTCTTAAATTAATGAATTAAAGGACAAATCATGAGCTTTTTTATTAGTCTTCTAGCTTCAACTTAGGTAAAAGAGCAAGTGACATTGGTATTATCTAGGACTAGAGGACATGCCTTCATTTTATATTAAAAGAACCGTGCCTTTTTTTTCTATTTTTTAATCTCCGAGGCAGGTCAATGGGCTTTCTGGACTACATTTACTCAATTAAATAAGCATAGTACTTCCCAGAAAACAGGCCCTCAAATATTTACTCAAAAATCAAAGGTATTTCCATATCTTCAACTATGATCTGTGACCTAAAGACCTTTAGACTAGGCCCATTTCACTGCTTTTATGTTCAGGACCTAGAATTATCTATTCCACATAAAATATGCTGTTTGTCAAATGAATCTATGAGTCATTTAGTCTTACTCTTTATATGTCTCTGAGCAAGGCTATGATGGATCTAATTCACCTCCATCTTCAACATTCAGCATTAAAAAAAACTGATGGAGAACCAAAACACCTTGCTTTTTTCAAAAAAATTCCCATCTCTTCACTCAGGCCAAAGAGCAGGTAGACTTTTAGTCCATGTTGTATTTTTCACCTTGCTTGGCCTCTGTTGCATACTGCTTTGCACAATTCTATTTTTCCCATGTTTTCATCATTAAATAAGCCTAGCAGTGGTTAAGTACCTTTTATTCTGGATTTCACACCTATTACCTCATTTCCTCCTGTGAGCATTCCATAAGGATAAAATGATTTTATATACTAGGGCATATATAGTTTTGAGCCTCATAGAAAGTAATCAGTCATTCATTAAGTCAAGTTAATTCCTTATATCTGTATAGAGCACTTGGCTTTCTAGATTTACACACAGATCTCTGTAGCAGGTTGAATGATAACGGTAATGAATTTTTGCATTACTAGTTGTTATCTCTGGAGATGAAGAGAGTAAATCATCATTATTCATCCAGCATATATTGCTTATATATGCATGGCTGTTTAAGACTTATAAATTGCAATATAGATGGTTTATCTTCAGATCCCTGATGCCTAGCAAAATGACTGGCACAGAAGAGACAATTATTATCCAGTCTTGCATTCATCATAATCTTTTACATATTATATTCATAATCTTCAATATTTAACAATACTTCCTCAAACTTTTTCCAACTTTTTTCACAGTATGATAGCTGTGATACAATTTTTAAGTTTAGTACTCAGCACCAAATAATAAAATCAACAGTTACATTTATATGGTACTTTAGAGTTCACAAAATGCTAACATATGTATTGCCTTTTTCTCAACAGTAGGCACAATGAAATGATAATGTGTGTACTCTTTAGTGCCTTTAACAGTGAGCTGACATAGTAGGCAACTGATATTCATTCATTTAACAAGTATTGGATGCCTCAGTTTGTATAATTATTTATACTAGCTTTCTCATAGTGGGTCAAACACACTATGATAATTTTTGTAGAGAATGCTTATCTCAGTTTTATGCACACAGAAACACTTAATGTCTTATATTTATGTAACACTTTATAGTTTAGAAGGCTCAATCTCATTCACTAAATTTCCCTGTAACATGGGAAAATATACCGGTAACAACTTGACATCACCAGTAAAGTCTTGTCTGATAAAAATAAGCAGTATCTAAGTCCTTACATCTAATAATGCAGAACATACAGCTCCCCTTATTACTTGAGAGCATTATTTTAGATTTCACAGAACCCAAAACAATAGGTGGCCCATAAAAGGCTGTTAACATTTATTAATTCATAAACATTTAGCCCATCAGTATTTAGTGCTTTAGTTTAGCTCACTTTAAAATGCACACCTTATCTGAAACTTTTAATTCTATATTGAGAATATGCTTTTTTCCCCTGTTATCCATAGTGCCTAGAGCATGTTATCTGGCACATTATAAGTCATCACAATAGCTTAATCCCTTATGTTTGCTGTATATATTATAGTTTTAAAAGCAGCTTCCATGGTTTTCTTTTCTGCTACCTGGAATACTGTATTTTTACTCAAAATCACCAAAGCGGCAGAAACATCATGGATCCAAATGTATGAATTTTCATTTATCAATCACTTAATTCTGAATATCTGTATAGTATTACATACTTTTGACAAAGCACTTTATTCATGCTTCTTCTAATCTTTGTATCCACAGTGCCTATGCAGTACAATGTATATACTGTGTAATCAATATTCATTCGTCAACTCTAAAACTTGTAAGTCTTTAAGCACTGTCATAGTTTAAAAGTATATTCACACATTTTTATTCAGGTCACTTGCATGTGATCATAAATAATCATTGAATCCTTAGTGCCAAGCAAAAGGACAGGCTCACACAAGGAAATATTCAGCACAGTCCTTGGCATTTACATCAGGGGTAACTATGGCCCACAGACCATATCCACTTGGTTCACAAGCTAAGAAGTTTTTCCTTTTTTAAGGATTGTAAAAAAAAAAATGTAGAGACCATATGGCCTCCAAAGACTAAAATATTTACCATCTCACCTTTTACAGAAAGGGTGAGATAACCCCTGAAGTACATAATGCTTCACAACTGACAGTGCTCTTTCAAATATTGGCAATGCATGGCTGCCAATACAGTATTAATGAGAACATTTTACTTTCATATATATTCTCAATTATTTAAATGATCTTCTCTCATGGTAAGGTGGGGGGGATCTAGGAGGATTAAACCTGCTAAATACTCCTAAATTCTCTCACCTTTAAGCCTAGAGGTTGGTATTAAACCCAAAGGCAAGGTTGGTGCAGACTACCAAATTATTAGGCCACTACTATGAGCAGGGAGTTCAGGCTGCCTCCTTGGGGCCTCATTCTGTTCCAAGCCCACTTTTCTGTAACCATCACTAGGAATCCCAGACCCCAGGAATCCTGCTCACCCAAGTTCAAAGAAGTCAGGTGTTGCAGGCTGATTCTTCTCAACAGGCTCACACATCTATGTATTTCATGTCTAATTGTTCTCATTGCCCAGGAGCACCTCTACATTTTCTCTACATAGCCTGGCACTTTTTCCCCAATAGCCTGATGCTTTACTCTTCTCATTAACCTAGAGCTTCTGAGGAAAAAGTGAGACTGAAATACAATTTCATCTATATGTCTCTCTCAAATGGAGTGAACGTGAGGAGAGGTGGAAGTTACAAAAAATACATAAAACTTAATGAATGACTCAAAACTGTGATAAAAACTGGCTTACAATGACCCCAGCATATTTCCAATGTAAAGAGAGCTCTTCAAGATAATAACAACATCAAAAAGAGCATCTCAAAATGAGTTTAAATGGAGATATAAAAACTGGAAATGGAGAACTGAAAATGTCCAAGAGTAGGGACGACAGCAATAGAAAAGAGCTGAGGTTTACGGTTCTCATACTGGGATTTCCTTAGGTCTTGGGCCTTGTGTCTCAGATCTTAGGTCTCCCATGTGTCCCCACTCTTAGGTCTTCAGCCACTCATCTTGGGTCTTCAGCCTTCTGTTTGACTCAAGACATGAGACGTTCATTCAACTCAGGCCTTCTGTCTGACAAGGGCCATCTTCAGTATGTATGTCATGATTCTCAGAGCTTCTGATGGTCTCAAGCCTGAGGTTTCCATCTATCTTAGGATACCGGTTTTCCATTTTAGTTCACAAGTCTCAAGTCTCAAGCTCACTTGTCTTCTACTTTGGGACTTTTATCCATTACGGGCCTTCCATTTTCTGTCCTTAAGGTTTTTGGATCCATGAGCTTTCTATTCATTTTGGATTATTTCACAGGACAGCCTGGCATAAGGAACAGCTCTGCAATGCTTATTTTGATAGCAGACACTCTGCACCTACTGGGAAGGGGTTAGGAAACCCCTTTGTCACAAACATAGACAAACATGCACACATAGGTATACATAAACACACATAGGTGTACATACAAACACATGTTCACAAAAAATATGTAAGGAAAGAGGACTGCAGGAAATGAAAGAGGGAGACACAGACTCATGAAGAGGCTGAAATACCCAAAACTGGGTAGAAGAAGAAAAGCAAAAAGACAGGAGAACAAAGAGAAGAAAAGCATTGAAATGGAAAGTCACAAAGAAAAAGGAGACACAGAGGTACACAGAGCAGGAAAAAAGAAAGAAAATGGCCCAAGAGAGGCAATAAAGGACATGTAGAAAAGAGAAATCTAAGATAAAGAGTAGAAACAGCAGAAAGGAGGCCAGAATCACAAAAAGGTAAAATGTCAAACCAACAAAAGGGGAGAGGGTGACAATCACAATTCACAAAGAGAAAAAAAGAGAGGTAAGCAGGACAAGGAAATGAGCAAAAAGCACACAGCATGCGACTCAGAGACACAATGGTAAGTACGAACAGTTGAAAGAGCCAGATCTAAGAGAGCAAAGACAATCAGTAACAAAATGAAAAAATGAGAGAGACATCTAAGACAAGGCACAAACAACTTATGAACAAAAAAGAAAATGAGACAAAGATACACAGAGAAGAAATAAGCAAGACAAACGTGGAAATGGGTAGCACACACTTTAGAGAGCAAAGACCAAGGACATTCAAGGAGGAAATAGACAAGCAAAGAAATACACACTTACGAGTAAAAGAGAAAAGCCAAGGCAGACATTTAGAAGAAATGGGTAAGAATTAGAAGAGACAACATACAGTGACGGGCACAAGAACCATGAGAAACATCACAAAGGGAACAAAAGAAAACCAAAAAGTACATTAATAACTACAATAATCTATTATTAGTACCAATACTACTTATATCACTATCAATAATAATAATTATAATAACAACGACCCACCAACACAGATGCTCTTCTACTCAGACTATTTTTACCTTTGAAATTTCTTACATAGAACCAAAACATTCCAACTCTGCCTGCCACTAAATGGTAGTACTGGTCACTCATATTGGTCAAATAAACTTAAGAAAATTCTTGGGTAACCTTTTACTTACCCTGTGCCAAGCACCGTATTAAGCACTTTACATACAATACTTCACTTAATCTTCATAAACAGACAAGTCTGATCAGAAACTAAATTGTCAAAAAGGCCACACACTTAATGAGTTGCACAGGATTTAAACACAGAATGTGCACCTCTAACATTCTACTATGATAGTTTGTAAGAATTTCCAAGAGCCAAACAAGATGCCACAGATGAGTGAATATTACTATAAAGGGCCCTCAAAGAGGTCCCAGTCAATGCCCCCATTTTATATCATCTTCACCTTTCCCCATGCATTTAGGAAACTGACTTGATTTTTGCACCCTTCACATTTATAACACTGGCTTTTCCTTTAACACTAAATATTAACTGCAGATAGATTCTCTCACAAGGAGATAAAAAAGAGCCACCCTTTCAGCAAAAAAACAAAAACTTTTTAAAGTTTCTATATGTTTAGGCCTCTAAGAGTGGCAAAGAATTCATGCACTGAAGATAAAGAATAGGTAAGGTGAGACTAACCTTGACACAATTGGTAGCAACTAATATTTTTGAATTGCTTCAGTTAACCCAGTTAGTAATACAGGCATACCTCATTTTATTGTACTTGGCTTTGTTGTGCTTCATAGATGTTGCTTTTTTTTTTTTTTTTTTTTTTTTAACTAATTAAAAGCAACATCCTCTACCAGCAAAAAGCTTACAGCTCACTTTATTGTGATACTTGCTTTATTGCAGTGGTGTGAAACCAAATTGTAGTATCTCCAAGGTATGCCTGTAGAGGCTATTGGTCATCCTCCCATCTCACATTCAGACCCTTCCTCTACATTAGACTGCCATACCCCATCCCACAAAAACCTACAAAAAATAGCTGTTAGCTCTAAAACGATCCTCACGAGATTACAACACCAACAACTTACTTCATTCTGCTGTTCTAAAATGCTGGAGTGCCAGGCATGTTGCTCTTCCTTTGGTGTGTTCAAATTTCTTGCTCTCTGCATTGCTTTTGAGAAAGATAATTTGGTAGATATGAAGGAAATAATCAGGAGCTACAAAAAAATGAGAGGGAAACTATATAAATGCCATTAAAAACGTTAATTGAGTACTCACTAGAGTTATGGGAAAATTCAAATTAATGAGTTATAGAAACTGTCTTTACAGAGTTCAAGCTTTTAGGTCCTTAGAGATAAAACTAATACAACTTCCTCATTCAACAGAATGAGAAACTGGCATAAATAGGAAAATGTCTTGCCTAAAAATATTCAGCGAGCCACTCGGAACACCACCATTAACCACAGCCTTATTTCTTACTAATCTGTACAAAGGCTTTACAATCAGGACATTGTTTTTTAATTTTTAAAAAAATATTTAAATTATATTTTATTGATTATGCTATTACAGTTATCAAAAATTTTCCCTCTTTACAGCCTCCCCACTCCCTCAGGCTATCCCCACACCATTGTTCATGTCTACAGGTCATTCATATATGTTCTTTGGCTACTCCAATTCCTATGCTGTACTTTACATCCCCATGAATATTCTGTAACTACCAATTTGTACTTCTTAATCCCTTCACCTTTTCCACCCAGCTACCTGACCCCTCTCCCATTTGGCAACCAACAAAATGTTCTCTGTATCTACAATTCTGTTTCTGTTCTGCTTATTTGTTTTTTAGATTCAATTGTTGATAGATATGTATTTATTGCCATTTTATTTTTCGTAGTCTTGATCTTCTTAAAAAAGACCCTTTAACATTTCATGTAATACTGGTTTGGTGGTGCTGAACTCCTTTAGCTTTTTCTTATTTGGGAAACTCTATCTGTCCTTCCTTTCTAAATGACGACTTCTCTGAATAGAGCATTTTTAGTTGTAGGTCCTTGCTTTTCATCACTTTGAATATTTCTTGCCAATCCCTTCTAGCCTGCAAAGTTTTTTTTTTTTTTGAGGAATCATCTGACAGTCTTATGGGGGTTCCTTTGTAAGTAACTTCCTGCTTTTCTCTTGCTGAGTTTAAGATTCTCTCTTTGTCTTTAACCTTTGACATTTATGCAGTGCCTTGGAGTAAGCCTCTTTGGGTTCATTTTGCTTAGCACTCTCTGAGGTTCCTGGACTTGTACATCTATTTCCTTCACCATGTTAGGGAAGTTTTCTGTCATTATTTTTTCAAATAAGTTTCCAATTTCTTTCTCTCTTCTCATTCCAGCACCCCATGATACAAATGTTCGTCTGCTTGAAGTTGTCCCAGGGGCTCCTTACACTATCTTCAAGTTTTTTGAATTAATTTTTCTTCTTGCTGTTCTGATTGGTTGTTTTTTGCTTCCTTATATACCAAATCACTGATTTGATTCTCAGTCTCATCCACTCTTCTCTCGATTCCCTGTAAATTGTTCTTCATTTCAATTAGTGTAGCCTTCATTTCTGTATGGTTCTTTTTTATGGTTTACATGTCCTTTTTCATACTGCTGAAGTTCTCTTCGAGTTTGTCTACTCTTCCCCTAAGTTCACTGAGCTTCCTTTTAATCAGTGTTTTGAATTCTGAACCTGATAGATTGCTTATCTCCATTTTTGATTAGTTCCTTTTTTGGGATTTTGATCTGTTGTTTCACTTGGGCCATGTTTCTTTGCCTCCTCATTTGGCAGCCTCCCTGTGTTTGTTTCTATGTATTAGGTAGAGCTGCTATGTCTCCCAGGCTTGGTAAAGTGGTTAATGTACTAGGTGTCCTGTAGAGTCCAGTGGCACAGTCTCTCCTATTACCCAAGCTGGGCACTCAAGGTGCTCCCACTGTGTGGGCTCTGTATAACCTCCTGTTGTAGTTGAGCCTTGATTGCTATTGGCATGTCCAAGGTCAGCCACCAACTGTGTTCTATCTGGGGTCACACAACATAAGCTATAAAGTGATCTGCAGATGGATGTTACTTGTGCTAGTCTTGGAGCTGCCCAGAAGAGGCCCAGCTATGAACCAAGGCTGGCTGTTGTTAGTGCCCAGCCTGGGGTTACTTAGCAAGAGGTACAGGGTTTGCTGAAGCCAGATGTTGTTGGTTTGGAAGAATTCAGGAAAATCTGAAGCATGGACCAAGACAAGCCAATTGTATGGAAAAGCCACTGGCAACAGCTTCGGTGGCTCTGAAAGTTGGATGCGGCAGGGCCTCTGGGAATCACCAGGGTGGGGTAAAGAGTATGAGCCAGGTTGATGAAGACTCAAATATAGCACTTGTCTGCCACCTCTGTTGGGGGAAGGCTCAGAAAAGGAACAATGGCCTCTACCAGCAACTATGTCTGGGAAAAAGCTGCCCCCCAGCTCTTGCCCTGATGCCAGACAATTCAGTTCCTCTTGTATGTCTCTGATGTTTTTCAATCTGCTGCCCCAGCACTGGAACTCAGGAGAAATGAGTACAAATAAGACTGTGCATGGGCCCTTTAAGAGGAATTGCCTGAGACTCCAACAGTTTCTCTCTTCCACAGCTTCAATACCTGTTGGTTTTTACAGCCAGAAGTTATAGAGACTTACCTGCCTGGCACTGGCACCCTGGGCTGAGGAGCCTAGTTGGGGGACTGGGACCCCTTGGTCCTAAGATATCCCTCCTGATTTTTATCTGCCAACATGTGGGTGTGGGACCAGCCTATTCAGTATCTCTACCCCTCCTACCAGTCTCACTGTGGCTTTTTCTTTAATTCCAGAGTTGGTTTCTCCTTTAATTCTACAGTTGCAGGACTTCCATTCAGCTTGATCTTGGATGGTTCTGAATCATGGTTGTTCCATAGATTAGTTGTAATTTCGATGTGGTTGTATGAGGAGGTGAGCCACGTTTACCTACATGGCCATCTTGACCAGAGGTCCTACAATCAGGACTTAGTACACTAAATAGCTACCTCCATCTCCCAACCTGCAGCTCCCTAATCATCCTCTCACATCACTGACCTACAGTATGCAAGGTTGTGGTTCTTTAGATCTGCTGGACAATAGGTAACAGTACAGTTTCTGGTCAGGTACTTATTTGTAGTTCTGAGGCTTCCATCAATCATCAAATACAAAATAAAAAGATACAACTCTTATTTATCTTCTCAAGCAAAAGAAAAAAGTTGTTCTTTTAGGAGAACATGGACAACAGCTTGTTTTGTGTTTTATCCCACAGGCATCCCAGGACATCCTGAAGTATGCGATGATTTCCAAAATTCCACAACAGGGTCTCAGGGGAGACTTTGAGGACTACAGGGTCAGAGTGTGAATTGCCTATGATCAATATTGTAGATGTAGCAGCTGTTGTCCATGTTCTCCTAAAAGAACAACCTAGTTGCATGCCTATACAACATACTATAGTCCTAGCCTAAACACCCTAAATTACACAGCCTGCTGCTCTCTTCACAACATTTTCACCCATCGCACACACAGTCACTTCCCAGGTTAGTTAGGAAGCTGTTTTTACCAAAGCAGACAGAGCTGGTAATGATGAAAACAATCTCAGTGGAAAGCCAGAAGTAATATATACTGAAAAATTAAAGACAGTATCCTTATTGTACTTTTGAAGACAGCTTACTCACCACTAACGTGTGGAGGATAACTTGAGACTTCACCTTCCTATCTGGGCTCCAGAAAGAATCTTGGTAGAAACTTCTGGCCTAGGATTGTTACCCAGTGGTAGTGACCTTTTCCCTTGGAGGATCCTCATGCCCCATCTCCACCTAGGGATCGTCAAAGGGAATGGGTCACTAACACTGTAAAGCAACAAGCCTGTTCTTCAGAGGAAGATCTGGAGAAGAGATAAAAGAAAAAGAAATTATTGAAATGCAATATACTGGGAAAGTGTGTCTCAAACAGCACCTGTTGATTAAATTAAATGATGTCTTCCTTTTTTCTCATATGGATTGAGGGGTAAAGATTGAGAACTGTGGAGAGCTCTATATTCTAGCTACCAGCCTACAAAAAAAGCAAGTTTTTCTACTCACTCCAACTCCAAACCTCAAATTTCTCTTCATCTCAAAGAGAAACTTAGAGTTGAATAATCACCAAATTCCCTTACTGTGCTTTATTCTCCAGTCTCTACTAATAAGCAATCTTCTATAGTGTGAATTATTAACTTTCTGGTGTTCTCACCATAAAATGTAGTGAAGGGTCAAAAAATTCAGGGGTTAAAAATAATAGAAGGAAAAGATAAAGTTTCTCAACCAAAAAAGCTATCAATCTACTTAGAAAAGCTCCAATGTGGTCTGATTTTATTGAGTTCTGTAAGAACTCTTCTTCACATATGTCTCAGGTATCTTTTATTAAGCACTGTTTTAATAACAGAGCAATCTACCACAAAGTGTCTCTCTAAGCTAGTTTTGTAGCATTCCTCTCTTTTAATTCGTATGTTAAGTAGTCAGATGCTGGAGCACTGCCATGGTAAACAAAATTGTTTTCTACTCAATCCACATGGTATATTTCTTGAACACCTTTCATAGGTGGGATGTTACCATATTCAAATCGAGAATAGCTACAGTGACTGTTACTATGACAGCTAAGCAAATCTATGCAAAAGGAAAAACAAGATATAGAAGGTTAGGAATCCATTAAACAACTTAATACAGTCCCATGGGTATCCGTTATTTGATCTTTTAGCAATTTCATGACCTTTCAAACTAACAAACCTTCAACCTCTTAAGATAATAAAGGAAAGACAGAGACAATAGAATTAGGCCTGCCAAAACAGGACTATGGCACAGATCAAGTTGGTGCTACTCACCAACAAATCCTCAGCACTTACTACCAGTATGCCAAAGAAAAGTAGAAATAATTTCCAAGGACCGTTAATCAGAAGGCTACCTTTTCCTCCAGGTGGCCTAGAAGCCATCCTTAGATTAGATGGAGCTTATCCAGATTCTCAGAAGAAAGATCTGCTGAATATAGAGCTTCTTAGAACTGCTTAGATTCCTCAGGTCTCACATGTTCATAATGTCCTTGGAAAGAAAGACAAGGCACAGTAGGATAGGATACCAAAACTATTGAGACAACCTCAACAACAACAAAAACAAAAACTAGGAAACATTAACTTGAATCATTAAGTATAAATGTGTCCTGTCTCTTATTTCTAGCCTGTACAGTCTCCCTAAGATCCTGTAATGACAAGCACTGTCAGTATCACAGAAGGTTAGGCAAGTATAAGAAAAGAACTAAACAAAAATACGAATCAAACCAATACCCATGTTAAGGGTTGACTAAACTTGTGGCCTAAATGTCAAATACTTCAAGATGCTCCAGGTAGCAGAGCAATTGCTACTACTTCCTGGACGTACAATTGCCTTGACCATTTTTAATATTTGGTGAGCTGCCTCTACTATAGGACAGGAGCTCACTAAAGCAAATCTAAGCCAGGTTTGCAATCTTGAAAGTACTTTGCATCGTATGGTATGGTGTGAGAGAACCAGATAAGGATTCCAGATTTCTGATCAGGAATCACCATGCTATTTATAAGGGCCTTTATGTCAACATCAAAAATAATTTCATAGTAGTATGTGAAAGATCACTTACTCAACTCTATATTCTCTAAAGAAAATGTCCAGTAAAGCCAAACTGGTTCTCAATATAAGCAGAACAAACTAAAAATCTCTGGCAAATCTTTCCCCATCCTTATTTAACCTAAGATTAGAGACTTCATCCCCAAATACAGGTTTCCAATTATACATATTTACTGTGCTCCCTCCTGAAAACCCAGGAGTGATTATAAATAGACACTATGCAAAAGGAAAATTTCCCAAAGAACTTTTAAATGGATCCAAGCTCAAATTAATGTATACACTGTCTAATTAAGGTACCTAAAAGGAAACAACTTTTCCCATCTTTCCAGATCTTCTGAGCTACTCTAAACCATATTTATTGAGTATGGCTGTTTTAGCATCAAAAGCCTGTAGTTTTCTATGTTATTATAGTGATGATATATCCAAGGAGCATTCCCTTTCCCTTAAAGGGAAGCTAAGGCCAGAGAAAGTAGTTACATTTTGGATTTGGTACAGAACCATGCATTTCATTAGGGCTCATTATTCACTGACAAGAATTTTAAGACTCTTGATCCATTATCCCTTAGCCCAACAAAAAGTCAAGGTACTTTAGACATAAAAACCAAGTGGCATAGCCAGCCACCTAGTTCAAATACTCTTAACACTAGATGAATCACAGACTTATTGCCATTAGAAAGAATATTAATGATCTTGTAATCCAGTATTTTTCATTCTCTACATAAAGAAACTGGGAAGGCAGTAGATGAGACTCCCTCACTCTTATACAACTAATGGGTGGTAGAGTGATAGGTAAACCCAGGTCTTCTATCAATTCAAAGGTCTTTTCACTCTGGTGTCTGGACAAGTATTCTCAGAGATACAGATTTCTGCAAAACTTTTACCATATTTATTTCACCATAAGTATATTATGAATCAACTAGATGACTGCCTCATAATGGAGGACTGGACTGCTAGATTGCTGGCAAATGTAACTTGTTTTGTTGCCTGGAGCATAAAGAAAAGAACAGAGGAAAACAATGTGTTTTGTGCCTAATAAAAAACAAATACTATTGCTATGTGCTATAATAATAAGATTTTGCAGCAGCTTGAAAAAAACAATTTGGTTAAGTGCATTATCATAGCACAGGACAGTAGAGACATGCTATGCTTCAAAGAAGCAACACTATAGTAGTAGTACTATTTTTACATTTTAATAGCCATTTATTTACAACTATTCTGTACACGTGCTGTGTTTTATAGCTTTATTATAGATCTAAGTAAGAACGTTATTTTGTTCATACCCTTTAACTTAAAAATTATTTCCATGAACTTAAAGTATGTATATGAATTTTTTAAGAGTTTAATCAAATATAACAAAAATATTAATTGTAGAATCAGAGTAATCACAATCAATATCAACAGTGGTGTGTCATGTCTCATGTGGATAGTATAAACTCTGAAGACATAAATAAGAATGGCTGTTTATTTCTGTGGTCTTCATTCCAAAAATTGACAAACCCAGCCTAGTCATGAGAAGAACAACAGAAAAGTCTCAATAGGATACTACAGAATACTTGACCATTAGTTCTCAAACCTGTAGGAGCCCAAGGAGGATATGACTAATGAATACAATGTGGTACTCTGATGAAATCCTGGAACATCAAAAAGGCAGTAGGGAAAACTGAGGAAATGTCAATGAAGTATGGCCTTTCCCTAATAATAATGTTTCAATATTGGTTTACTAATTATGACAAACATACCATAGTACTACTGTAAGATGTTGACTGGGAAAACTGGTTATGGAGTATACAGGACCTCTCTGTAATGGCTTTAGAATTATTCTATAAAACTCTTAAACTGTTGTAAAATAAGAAGTTTTGGGGTTTTTTTTTAACTCTCCCAACTAGATGCTGAAGACATATAAAATGCAGAGTTTTTAAAAAGCAAGTGAAATAGAAACCTGAGAACTGGTAATACATGTTTTGCTACAAGTAGGTACCTTCATTGTTTGCAAATCTGGCCAATAGACTCTCTCTTTCTTTTCTCTTTACAAGGATTTACTTGTTTTAAAGTTGAAATACATAAGGCCCGTTCAATTATCCATAATATCAAAAAGTTATTTTAAAAGACACTAGCAATTAAACTCTTCCTAATTATTCATCAACAGATTTCCTGGAAAGACTTAGTCAATCCATTATAAAAAGAAGGTAGTACATTAATAGCTAGTTTTCAATCAAAGGGTATATGTAAGGCTGGAAAATTTTAATGACATACAGATTACAGAGTAATTGCATACCAATACTGCACAATGGCAGTCATACTAACAAATATAGCATTAAATACAGTATGCCAAAAGTTTTCAAAGCTGTGGATAAAGTACCTACACATTTTATGAAACTCAGTAACGTACAGTGATCTCCCAGGCATATCCCTATTCTGAAATTATTAAAAGCATGTGATTATGTTATGCAATAAGAGGGTATTATTTCAGCCTGCTGCATAGCCTCTAATATTTCTGGAAAAAACTAAAGTAAAGCATTCTAGTTGGTCAAACAAAATACCTTAAGCCCATACACCATCTAAGAAATCTAGCACTGGTCAAACTTAAATTTTGCTTCAATTTCACATCCTAACATGAGCAAATCAAAAAGTCATTTCCAATGTAGACAACAAAACAGTAAAGAACGGCCTCCCTGGTGATATAATGGTTAGTATTTGGCACTCTCAAAACAGTAAAGAGTTCTTTATTTAACTTGATTGTAGAGGATGCACAAGGAACCTAACTAACATTTCAAGTCTCAGTGCTTTAATTTGGAGCAGTCGAGGAAGAACAATCAAGTAAAACCTAAATCACCAATAAAAATATAGCTAATTCATCCTGGCTGGATGGCTCAGCTGGTTAGAGCATCATCCCATGCACCAAAAGGTTGTGTGTTCAATCCCCATTTGGGAGCGAGTACAGAAGGCAACCAACTAATGTTTCTCTCTCTCTCTCTCTCTCTCTCTCTCTCTCTCTCTCTCTCTCTAATAGCACCAATACAATGATATATAATGGTACATGGCCACTGAAGTTTAATTTGGTAATTCAGCAAGTCAGCTAAGTCTCAAACAAATATTTGAGACCCAACTTGTGTTGGATTTGGAAGGAAACCAGTATTAAGTGCTACTCGTCTGTAGTCAAGAATATTGTAGTGGGAAAATAAAATTTTCTTCCAATTCAGTTTTTAAGACTTGAGGCAGAGGAAGGTCTCAGCTCTGTGTAACCATACACAGCAGTATTCTTTGCCATCCAAGAATACAAAGTTTGGGGAAACAGCTCAGTTCAAATAACAGTTTTCTCCTCTTAAAGCTAGTAAAATATTTTCCAAAACTGCTTCACAAATAAGAATTATCTTAGCAGCAACCACAGAGCAACATTTCATTATTTTACTTCAAGTCACAAACTCCCATCCAGATGTACATTTGATAACCAGGGCCCAGATACCCTGAAAGGAAATTATGTTTAGCCCTGGCTGGTGCAGCTCAGTGGCCTGAGAACCAAAGGGTCGCTGGTTCGATTCCCAGTCAGGGCACATGCCTGAGTTGGAAGCCAGGTCCCCAGTAGGGGGCACACAAGAGGCAACCACACATTGATGTTTCTCTCCCTCCCTTTCTTCCTCCCCTCCCCTCTGTCTAAAAATAAATGAATAAATAAATAAATAAATAGTTTTTTACAAAAGAAATTATATTTAATCAGGGAGGTTAGAGAAATAACATAAAGAACAATAGGTAGAAAAGCTAAAGGGGAAGATGGGAAAAGATGCATAAACCTGAGATCAGGAAACTTCCTCCAATCCTATATATTAAGGTTTTATAAGGAGGAAAGTCAGGAAAAAAATCAGAATAACCATTTAGAGAAATGCCAAGAGAATTTTAAGTGCTTTCTTTTTTTGACTCTGAAAATTTTCAAAATGACAAAAAATGTCATTTTCAGGGATTGAGGGATTCACCTCAAGCCCCTGTCTTAATTCATCAGTATTTCTCAGATGCTAAGATTGACATGGATGGTGATTTGATCCTAGGTTAGAGCCAGGACCCAAGAGCTATTTTATTCCCAGCTTACAACTTTTTAAAAATGATTTTACCATCATCTCACTTCTTCTGCCCCCAAAACCATGAAAAATAGTAATCTATCCCATCTAGGAGAGAATGAGCATTAAAATACACTTGCAAGAAGTAATACTGGAGGAGTGGCTGTAAGCCCTCTGCTCACACATTCCCTGAGCCTACTGATCAAGATGCTCCCTAGGCACACCTCGCATTTTCCCCTTACCATCATTTGGCTCAGTAAGAGTGTTTTCATCCACTCTTCTTTCTGTATATACCACAGAACTTCCCAAAGTTTTTATGGTATTCATTAAATTGCCCAATACAATGATTTGCTCATTTCTGCATCCTCCATGAGATAGCAAATTCCTTCACATGAATCATGTTTTTGGTATTGTTATTTATTCCAGTACCTGGCCCAATAACTATTTGCTGAGTTAACACAAATTATCTCAATTTTGAAGATGCCAACATTTCTAGAGCATCTCTTTTTACATCTGCTAGAGATTTTATTTTGAGCAATAAATTGAAATACAACTCCAAAATTTACCTTTGGATGCTTTCTAGTCCAGACTTCAATTCACCTAAAATTGACTCATCCTTCCGGAGTTCAGAATTGGCTCTGAATTCATCCCTTTAAAACAAATTCCAATAAATAGTTAGAGCTGTATGTTAACACTGAATGACAATTTGATTAGTAGCAATAAAAGATCTCATGAGCATAGACCAGTGTTTCTCAAATTGGGGTGATAAGAACCCTGGAGGTTTGTGGATATATTTTCATGGGTCCCCAAAAGTCTTATGTAAATTATATAAAGCATTTTATATATATATACATATATATATCTTTCACAAAGATATATTGAAATTGGGAAACATTTCAAATAACTTTCTTAAGTCAGTGGTCCTCAAAACACATGTTCTTTAGGATCTCAAAGAATTTCGTTCCTAAAAAGTGTTTCATTTTGTCAAATTACTTCAGTTTGAGAAACAACAGCACAGACTATATTTCCAAGAAGGTTCAGGACCACTTGTATATCACCCAGTCCGTCAGACAAATAATGTCATTAGGCATCTGGTGGGGATGGGTGGGGTGGAATACAACAAGCTGTGAGGAAATATGGATATGAATTAAAAGGGGCAGTAAGAGAAGCCCAGCTCATTATTATGCTTCTTGCTCCTGGTAAGGATGCACTGATGTACACAAAAATGTTTCAAACTTGATTTTAATATTTTTTAGCTGTACCTTTGTTTTTTATCAGGGAGGCTAAGCTTTTTTGCTTGCCAAGTGATGCTTGCTGTTGAAAAAGGTGAAGGGGAAGAGGGTATATTAACGTCATCATAAAGTGGTCAAGGTCATGGTTTTCTTATAAAACTTATATTTCTCCATTGCCCTCTTGTTAAACAGGTTCCACAAATATCTCAGACTAAAAAGGCATCATCACTACTCTCATCTGTTCTTGGGCAGAGATAAAATAAAAATGTTCAAAGAGCCAATGTATCAGATTTATATCTTCAATCTGTGAACCTTGAAAAGCTCAAGCTTATACTGAGATTTAACAACAAACAATTTGCCAGCCATGGCATATAGCCAAACACAATGACTAGGCCTTATCTCTTTAATCGATTTCCACGCCTCCCAAAAGAGGTAAAAACCAAATGGCATTAAATAAACCAACTGGACTACCCAGATGGCTGCAATATTAATCATATCCTGGACCAAAGAGAAAAAATAAACCCAACTCCTTAACTTTATCCTGTACACTTCAAACCTTGGTGGGCTCCTTTATTAAACTTTAACTTACAATTCATACAAGACAGCACAATTATCATTTCCTAAAATTATTTCAAGTGTGCTTGTATTAGCTCAACAATACAACCATCTAGGGGGTGAGCTAGCACTTACATAACTTAAGTATAACCTAGCATAGGGCCAGGTACACAATAGTAATGCTATAATCCTGTTGGTTAACTCATATGTTGAGATATGTATATATAGCAGATGAGGTGGGAATCAGGAAAGGAGACTTAACAGGAAACCTCTGACAGTTCTTATGGGTAGCATCTAAGAGAAAGAAAACAGAACAGGGAAAAGATTACTTAGTAACTACAAAGTAGTACTTACAGTATTCTAAAGAGCCAGAGACTCTTCTTACAGCTGTCCAAGGAGCTAGTAGTGCAAACTGCACCCTGACCTGGCCTGACCTTTTGACGTCCTGTTCAGAGGGCATCTTTTTTCAGTGATTACAAAGAACTGCTGTTGCAATCACTAGTTACTTGCTTCAGCAGTTCCTTATTAAATACTTCTCTGCCACGACAACCTGTACACTAGAGGCTAGGCTATTCATTTTTACCAGGCGGCTCACTGTTGAAATTTATGTCCACAAAAACGATTGCATCTTGGCTTATTTTTCTTTCGATATAAAACAGGGAAACAGGTCCCATAATTTTTAAGTCTCTTCTCTTCAGTGTGGTGCTTAAGCCTACTTTAAACGAGCACCATTAAACAGGGTGAATTTTATGTAATAGTTAAATAAAAGTGATCTATGGTATTCAAAAGCACTTCACTATATGTTGTCTCATTTCATTCTTTTACAGTAATCATCTTAAAATAAGTAGGGGCTGGTTGGTGTTGTACATGAAGTTTAAGGATTAGAAAATTTAGATAGTTTTTCTAAAAGTGAATGGTCGTAAATCCTAAACAATGCATGTTTTTAAAATGGTGGTAGAGCCCAAAAATACTAGTCTTAAGAGTCACAGCGGTCTATCCATAGACCCACCACCCTTTGTAAAATGAGAGACACTGGTCATCAGGTACATGGTATAAATGGGTTTTTAACTTCAAAAATTTAATGACCAGGCTATTGATACCACTTTGCAATCCAGATGTCTTTCTTAATAAAAAATTAACAGCAACTTTTTGGTTGTATTCTGGCAACTGACTCTGCAGAACAGCAATATACAATAGGAGAGTAAAGATTCCTAGCCACACAACCTGCTTTGGAATGAAGAATGTTCCTCCCTGGGGAGACAACTCTCAACTAATACATATATATTTATACATTTTTATACATAAAATCAAGAATATAAAGGGTGGCCATCCAGCTCCCTGGGCCTGACTTGCCTTGAACATTTTGCCCAGTAAAGCAGTAACAGAGGTGGGCAGGGATAGCTCCTGTCCCAAGAATGGGACAATAATTGGAATTCAGATCATTAACAAATGCAAGAAAAGGTGTGAAGGCCCACCCAGTACCTAGTTCAGGCCTGCTTTTGGTAATAACCAACACTGCGCAAACACATCAAAGTGGTAGGGAGAGCTTGGGCTGATGTGCTGAAAAAAATGGGACAATCACTACTGTGTTAATTAACAACACAGACGGGCCTTGGGGTAGTCAGCAATGCTTAGAAGCAATGTGAAAAGGGAAGTGGAGGGGCCCATGTCAGATAGGCAGGACCAAGGAAAGTGCAACTGAGGCACCAGAGAAATATAAATTGGGTAAACCAATGACATCTGAGATTGTTAACATCGAAGGCCAAGTGAAAGGGCCTTGACCAGTCAACAATCCTCACGAACAACACAAAATGGGCGGGGCGGGGGCGGGGTGGGGCCGGGTGGGGCGGGGCAGAGCAGGGCATGGCCCACAATATTGTCTAATGGAAGGATACAGGGACACCTGAAACTGTGATTATTAATAGTTCATCAGGGTCCAAGGACAGACAAGAGGTGGGGAGAGGGAAGATAAGGGTAACACCAGGACTACTTGGAATTTTATGCTCTGGAGCAATGCAAAAGCAGTGGGAGTATGGGTTGCTGTTTGAAGGACAAGCTCAGAGCATATTGTAATGTTTATACTTTATGATGCCACGGGAAATTGGGGCTGGGAGTGCTTTCCTAAGAAGGCCAGTGAGGAAAAACCCATTGCTATGAGCCTGTTAACATTCCCAGAAGTTTTGTGTGATCAGCAGCCTCTGCAGTAATGCAAAGGGAGTGAAAGGGAATGGTATCCGACTCTAACAGAAGGGGGCATAGGTAATTGCAAATATTCACATTAACAGTCCATAAAAGGGACCTTGGTGAGTCAGTACCCCTGATGTATGGGGTTCAACCTAATAATCAGTTCTTTGGTTACCTGTTCAAGAGCTGAGGTCATGATACCACTCCTCAGCAGTAATTCAAAGGCAGTGGTAGGGACACAGAGCATCCTTTCCTACTGCACAAGTCCACAAACAAATACAATTCATTATGCACATTAATACTCTCAAGAGAAGAACTCGTTCACAGTTAACATGCCCATAATGCAAAGGCAAAATAAGGGGAGGACGCAATCATACAACAAAAGAGATGGACAATTGCAATTATGCACACTTAAGTCCAAAAACAGGGGGCATTAGCTGAATAGCATCTCCTTGCACTAAAGCAAAGAGGGTCCAGTCATTCTGGTATAAGACATGCTTACAAAATTACATTTGTGCACATGAATTTCCCAAACACTGAAATTATGCACATAAATAGTCCCAGGAAAAAAGTAACAGGTAATTAACACACCTTCTTGTAGAATGAAGAGGGTACAGAGGTCTTAAGTGAAAGACAGTTTTGGTCAGTTACCATGATTCACTTTAACTGTACTAGTACAAAGGTCCTTAGTAAAGGGCATCCACTGCTGAATATAAGGAAAATTACTTAGGTCTATATCCACTGCAGAAGAGGAAGGACAAAAGCAATATTGCACATTAACAGTGCAAAAGGGGTCTTGGTGTTCAGATCCTCTTCTGTAAGGCTAACCAATGTAACAGAAGGGATACACCTTCACAGTCCCAAGTACCCTGTATTGTAAAGGAAGCAGGGTAGGAGGAAAAGGAATCTTAAATTAACAGAAGGGACCACAGCTACAATTCAAATTTTAAGTTTCAAATGACTTCCAGGTGATGTAAAGAAAATTCAAGGTAAACTAACAAAAGAGACCACACCTGCATTTAACCATATTCACAGTCCCAAGCACCTTCTAAGGTAATGCGAAAGATATTTAAGGGCTTGGATCTCAGATTGTAGCTGCCTTTAAGCACATTAACAGTCCCAACTACATGCTGCAGTAATACAAAGTGAGTTGGAGGGGACAGGATCCTAGATTAACAGTAAGGACAGTAGCTCCAACTGATCACTTTTAACAGTGCCCAAAACCCTCCTTGGTAATGTAAAGGGAAATGGACAGGATGTGATCTCGGAATTACAGAAGGGACCACAGCTCCAATTAAGCACATTATCAGTCCCAAATGCCCATCCTTGTATTGTAAAGGAGTAGGAAGTAGATGGGAACCTAGACAAAGAGAAGGAACCACTGCTGCAATTAGGGAACTTCACAGAACCAAATATACTCCCAGTAAATGTAAACGGACTTGGAGGGCATGGGATCCTAGGTTAACAGAAAGGACAGTAGCTGCAATGAAGCCCATTAACAGGCCTAGGTACTGTCTGCTGTGTGCAAAGAGAGTGGGAAGAGATGAAAAGACACAAACACAAGGCACCATAGCTGCAATTAAGCACTTTCAGTAGCAATTCTGCTCCCACAGTATGCAAAGTGATGGGAGATAAGATTCCAGAGTAATAAAAGGGAGAGTAGCCATATAAACACATTAACAGTTCCAAGTACCTTCTGTGATAAAGCACACATAGAAAAGCAAATGGGGTCCCAGCCTAAGAAAAGTGCCAACAGTGGCATTTAAGCACATTAACTGTCCTGAGAACCCTCTTTTCAGTTTTCTTTTATTCAGGATATAAATCATTGATACATTTTATTTTGTAGAACTTATTATTGTAGGACCTCTGTTTTAATACAAAGTAAAAATATGTGGTTTCTATAGTAACTAAAGGACATAGTAGGTATTAAGTACATTAACTGCCCCCAAGGACCCTGTTTTAATGCAAAATCAAGATGAGTGGGTTCTGTAGTAATGTAAGGAAAGTAGTGGCTTTTAAGCACATTGACTGCCTCAAGGATCCTGTTTTAATGCAAAGTCAAGATGAGTGGGTTCTATATTAATTTAAGGATAGAAGGGGCATTCAGGCACATTAACTGCCCCAAGGGCCCTCCATTTTAATGCAAAGTCAAGAGGAGTGGGTTCTACAGTAACATAAGGAGAGCAGTGGCATTTAAGCACAGTGACTGCCCCAAGGATCCTGTTTTATTGCAAAGTCAAGATGAGTGGGGCCAACGGTAAACATAAGAGCGGTAAACATAAGAGCCATTGCAAAGTCAAGATGAGTGGGGCCAACGGTAAACATAAGAGCGGTAAACATAAGAGTCGCAGGGGAATTCAGGCACATTAACTGCCCCAAGGGCCGTCCATTTTAATGCAAAGTCAAGAGGAGTCGGGGGTCCACTGGTAACATTAAGAGCAGCAGGAGCACTCAGGGAACATTAACTGCCTCAAGGGCTCTCCATTTTAATGCAAAGGCAGGAGTGGGTTCTATATTAATTTAAGAATAGAAGGGGAATTCAGGCACATTAACTGCCCAAGGGCTCTCCATTTTAATGCAAAGTCAAGAGGAGTGGGTTCTACAGTAACATAAGGAGAACAGTGGCATCTAAGCACAGTGACTGCCCCAAGGATCCTGATTTATTGCAAAGTCAAGATGAGTGGGGCCCACGGTAACATAAGAGCCACAGGGGAATTCAGGCACATTAACTGCCCCAAGGGCCCTCCATTTTAATGCAAAGTCAAGAAGAGTGGGGCCCACGGTAACATAAGAGCTGCAGGGGCATTCGAGCATATTAACTGCCCCAGAACCCTTTTAATGTAAAGTCAAGAGGAGTGGGTTTTGCGGTAACATAAGGAGAGCAGTGGCATTTTAGCACAGTGACTGCCCCAAGGATCCTATTTTATTGCAAAGTCAAGATGGGTGGGGACCCACGGTAACATAAGAACCGCAGGGGAATTCAGGCACATTAACTGCCCCAAGGGCCCTCCATTTTAATGCAAAGTCAAGAAGAGTGGGGCCCACGGTAACATAAGAGCCGCCCCTGAGCCGCAGGGGCATTCGAGCATATTAACTGCCCCAAGAACCCTTTTAATGTAAAGTCAAGAGGAGTGGGTTCTGCAGTAACATAAGGAGAGCAGTGGCATTTTAGCACAGTGACTGCCCCAAGGATCCTGTTTTATTGCAAAGTCAAGATGAGTAGGGCCCACGGTAACATAAGAGCCACAGGGGAATTCAGGCACATTAACTGCCCCAAGGGCCCTCCATTTTAATGCAAAGTAAAGAAGAGTGGGGCCCACGGTAACATAAGAGCCGCAGGGGCATTCGAGCATATTAACTGCCCCAAGAACCCTTTTAATGTAAAGTCAAGAGGAGTGGGTTCTGCCGTAACATAAGGAGAGCAGTGGCATTTTAGCACAGTGACTGCCCCAAGGATCCTATTTTATTGCAAAGTCAAGATGGGTGGGGACCCACGGTAACATAAGAACCGCAGGGGAATTCAGGCACATTAACTGCCCCAAGGGCTCTCCATTTTAATGCAAAGTAAAGAAGAGTGGGTTCTGTAGTAACATAGGAGACCAGTGGCATTTAACACATTGCCTGCCCTAAGGATTCTCCATTTTAATGAAAAGTCAGGGTGGGTGGGTCCCACAGTAACGTAAGAGCCGCAGGGACGTTCAGGCACATTAACTGCCCCAAGGACCCTCTGTTTTAATGCAAAGTCAAGATGAGTGGGTTCTGTAATAACATTAGGACAGTAGTGGCATTTAAGCACATAGACTGCCTCAAGGACCCTGTTTTAATGAAAAATGAGCGTGGGTGGGGCCTACGGTAACATAAGAGCAATACTGGTATTTAGGCACATTAACTGCCCACGGACGCTCAGTTCTAAAGCAAAATCAGGATGGCTCAGGCCGATGGTAACATAAAAGCAGCAGGGGCATTCAGACACATCACCTGTCCCAAGGACCCTCTGTTTCAATGCAAAGTGAAGGTATGTGTGTCTATAGTAATTTAAGAATAGCAAGGGCATTCAGGCATATTAACTGTCCCTAGGACCGTCTTTTCTAATGCAAAGTGAGGAATGTATTTTCTATGGTAACTAAAGGACGGCAGTGGCATTTAAATACATTAACTGCCCCAAGGACTCTTTTTTAATGCATTCATGGTAAGTTTCATAGTAAAATGAGAACAGTAGTGTCATTTAAGCACATTAACTGTCCAGGGACCCTCTGTTTTAATGCAAAGTCAGGGTGGGTGGGTTCATAAAAGTAGCAGTGGTGCCCTGGCACGTGTGGCTCAGTTAGTTGGAGCTTCATCCCATAAACCAAAAGGTTGCCAGTTCCATCTCTAGTCAAGGTATGTACACCTGGGTTGTGTATGTGATCCCATGTCAGGACGTGTGCAGGAGACAGCCAATCAATGTTTTTCTCTCATATCAGATATTTTTCTCTCTATCCCTTTCTATTCCAAAGTAATGAAAAAATGTCTTTGCATGGGGAGAAAAAGAAAAGAAGGAAATGCAGCCAGCATTTAAGCATACTTATTGTTCCAAGGACGTGGTTTTAAGGCAAAGTAAGGATTAGTGGATTCTAAGTAACAAAAGAACAGCAGTGGCATTCGAACACATTAACTGCCCCAAGGACCCTCTGTTTTAAGACAAAATCATCATGGGTGGGTTCTTTACTAAAATTAAGTACAGTAGTGGCATTTGACCCCATTAACTGTTCCAAGAACCCTCTATTTTAAAGCAAACTTAAGACAGGATGTGATCTCAGACTAACAAAGGGACAGTATCTCCATTTGGCACAGTAACAGTTTCAAGTACCCTCTGTGTTAATGTAAGAGTTAGTATGCAGAGTATCCAGATTAACTGGAAATATTGGGGACCAGAATTTTGCACATAACTGATTTGTGATAAGGGCCGTAAGTAACTGTCACTCTTCAGATGTAAAGTTGGTGCTTCATTCTTGATATAATGGTCATACTAATCAATTAGAATTGTGCACATAATCTGCCCTAGTGCATTGTTCTTAGGTACTAAACATCCCCTGCCTGAATTCTAAGGGAGTGTCTGTGGCTAGTTCACAGACAGGGACAAAAGCAATTATGAATATTATTAATTCAAGAGAAGGGTCCGGGTCCACATAGCTACCAAATAGGATACAGTGGACCGTTCAAATAAATAGTACTCTGGACAGCTATGGCTGAAAATTTACTGTCCAAGAGCTAATTTCTTAGCAATATTCGAGATGGTGTGACGGGGTAGCATTCCTTTTTATTGCACTGGAGTATGAATATATGCAATTATGCATATCAACTCTTTAAGAGAAGGCACAATGTTAAAGAGGAAAGGGATATGCTAGATTAATCGGTGGGAGGGACTATGATCAATGAGGATTTTACATATTCTCAAAGCCTATAAGTAATGAAAAGGGCATGGGTGGGCCTTACCTGTTAGGCAGGACCATCAACAATTGTGCCCATACATATTCCAAAGTAAAAGGCCTTGAGCGTTAACATCTCTGCAACAGCCCGAAGTTGCAAAGGATTTATGCAATGAACAAGGACACGGTCAACTGGAATTCTACTCACTACTTATTCACGGAACACGATCTCAGAGAACACAGCCTAGTAGCAACGCAAAAGGTATGGAGAATCGCTGATTACAGGTGAGACCATGTAGAATTACAGTTTTGTTCTTTAATTGTCTCAGAACAGGATTCCTCAGAAGCAGGGCAAAGATATTTGGTAAGGTGCCTTTGGACAAGTTTATAGTTATTAGGAATGAGCATGTTAACTGTTGAACAAAAGACTTGTGTTTTCGGAGTCTACTGCAGTATGCAAAAGTGTTTTGGACTGAAATATAATCCGGTAAGCAGGATTATGGATAATTAGAATTTCACTCACTGCAAAGAATTTAGATGGTCAGCAAATATATGAACACTAGCAAGACAATTGGTACTGTGACTACTGCAGCAATGCTAAGGAATGGTTTCTCCTTTCTTAAAGAGCAAGGGATTGAGAAGATGAATACTAACTAGAATTAAGGACAATTGTCTGATAGGAATCTTTTGATTAATTAACATTTCATAAAGTAATGGTGCGTAGACTCTTTGTTCTAACATGGGACAATGGACAAATTGGATTTAGTACATTAATTGAAAAAAATGACTCAGGTAGTCAGCACTGAAGATCAGCAGTGCTAGAGGCAGGTAGGGCATCAAAGTCTAATGGATGAGCAATGGATGACAAATGACTTATTTTTCATACTGAATCAATAACTGGAGTGGATTTAGGGAGAAATAGGGGGTCGGGGCTGGGGCTGGGGCTGGGGCTGGGGCCGGGGCCGGGGCGGGGCCGGGCTGGGCCCGGCCGGGGCCGGGGCCGGGGCCGGGGCCGGGGCCGGGGCCGGGGCCGGGGTTGGGGTTGGGCCGGGGCCGGGGCTGGGGTTGGGCCCCGGGCCGGGGGCAGGGGCCGGGGCAGGGCCCGGGGCCGGGGCCGGGCCGGGGCCGGGGCCGGGGCCGGGGCTGGGGCTGGGGCTGGGGCTGGGGCCGGGGCCGGGGCCGGGGCCAGGGCTGGGGCCGCAGGCAGGTTTAGAAGGACTAGGGCAAGATGGAGGAATTCTGAGGACAAGGCTGGGGACTGTGCAGGCAGGTCAGTACAGAAAATTGAATATGTGGGCATTTAATGCTCCAACATTAAGTTTGAATAGAGGAAATAAGTCTACAGCAATTCTAATTTCCTGCCTGATAAGTGGTCATTAGTCAATTTGTGCAGCGCTAAAGATGGGAACAAAGCAAGGCCTGGACTGGAATGGACCTTCAGATGTTCTTTTTATATTTGGTCATAAAGTTAAATTTAATTAACTATGTTCAAAAACCCAAAGTAGTTAAAGTCTATTTCAAAGTAAAAAAAATATTGAAAAAATGTTAATGCCAAATTATTTGACTTTGTGTATCTTAAACCAGAAAAAAGTAAAATGTTTAAGCCACTTATAAAAAAGAAATTGAAAATTTTAATGAATTTTAAAGAACAAAAACATTTAATGAAATGTAATTGAAATAAATTCTACAAATAAACAAAGCCATAATAGTCACTGAAGGCTTAAATATAAATCTAGAAAACCATATAATTGAACTATTTATGACTGACATCCAAAAAATAAGTAGAAATCAAAATCCAACCCCAGCATTAGCCACGGGGTAGGTGTTCCTCTTGAAGAAAGCAGGGATTCCTCTTCTGCCACCTGCTGGCCAACGATCATCTGAGATCCATTTTGGTCCTTGCCACGACTGACCGCCATGTTCACACTTGGCAGGCATGGAGCACTACCCCTGGCCACAGTGTAAAGAACAGAGGCCAGGGGAAAGTAGACTAGCCTTAGGCCACAGTACCAATGCAGAGGAACGGGGTGAGGTTCGGGCTGTGCAACTAACTACATATCCAGCATGGCAAGTGGCAGTGCTGGAGGGGAGGGAGCTGGGCAAGAAGGGAGGGAGCTGGTAAGAAGGGAGGGAGCTGGACAGGCCAAATGTCCTTGGAAAGACCTTGGGCTCCACCTACTGGGAGCAGACTTAAGAAAGTGGCACCTCGGTTTCTACTTCCTGATTGGCTGAATAAAGATGGTCCGCAAGGAGCCATGCTAAAGTGGTCTAATTCCATCCTGCATTGATTGGCTATACTCAATTGTACCATGCTATCTGATCGGGTGGGTCATGTGACATTCTAACACTGACCGATCCACTTTCTCTTTTTGCACCAAACGCGGAAATGTTCGCCATCTTTAACAATGCTGCAGTTACACCTGGAGCAAAGCCCGCCAAGAAGGTACCGCGCAAAAAAAAGAAGCCCGCCAGAACATCCACATGACAGACTGCCATTATATCTGCATGACAAGGACTGCCACACTGTCCCTGCGGCAATACCTGTCAGGAAGTGCATGCGACAAAAACCAAGTCCCGCCATGTTTTACACTGCGGCAAGTATGTGCGCCGCCATTTTACAACATGTAATAGAACATTTTCACCACCATGCTGCGCACTAGAACAAAGACACCACCATGATGTGGATTCCCGCCACTTGAACACTGCGGCAGAATTGCACACGCCATTTTGGACACTAACAAAGCAGGCAGCCATGCTGAGCAATACCGCAAAGTCAAGCCGCCATTTTAAACCCTGTCTCTAAGTTTTTTCCCTCTCACTTTCACCTAGCCCCCTGTAATATGACACAGGGCGACCCTATTCTTTCTCAGGATACCACAATTCACACTTAGCTCCAAAGAAGCTCCATTTCAACTCATTCAAAATATTTAGCTCATGCAATACATATAACTGCTTCTGCCTATACCGGTCTCCCTATTGCCTTATTTATACTAGGCACAACCAACTAACCATCAGCCAAGCCACATACCAATCCAAAAGTGGCAGGTCGCCATATTTCCTCCCCAGCCTAACTAGCCTCCTAGCCTAACTGCAAAGTCATCTCCCAGTCAAAGGCGTAGGTCCACTCACACACCACCAAACGATTAGCAGCAAAAATCTGTAGACATTCCAGATAGTATAACAAACCACAGAAAACAACCAGTTTTTGAGCGATTAAAAAAAAAAATCTAAGCAGGTATCCACGGCCCCGATGGGCAAGAAAAAAAATTGAAGCAGGTATCCGAGGCCCCGATGGGCAAGAGGAAAAAAAAAAAAAAAAAAGCAGGTATCCGAGGCCCCGATGAGCCAAAAAAAAAAATTTTTTAATAGCAGGTATCCGAGGCCCCGATGGGCCAGAAGTTTGGGGGAAAAGGGTACACCGCAGGTATCCGAGGCCCCGATGGGCTAAAGAGTAAAAATTAAAAGCTGGTATCCACGGCCCCGATGGGCGAACTTTTAAAAATAGATAAATATAACCAGGCAGCCACCACCCTAATGGGCAGAAGTATACGAAACTGGAAGGAACAGAAAACTAAACCAAAGAAAAACAGAACATACCAAGAAAAAAAAGGTTCAACCGAAAATTATTGCAAAGAAAAATTCCTTCAAAATGGAAAATGGCCTAAAAAGATTCAAAATACCTGAAAAGAATACGAAAGTGTCAAGAAAGTACTAGGAGAAAATTTACAATTTTGAAAGTATTTTATAGGATTTCGGTGTATTTTTTTCGAAGAAATGCTCCATAAAGAATAGTACCAGCTGGAAAATGTTCCAGAAAGAACCTCATGGGTGAAGACATCTGCTAATTAGCAAAAAAGTCTATTCCACCACAAGAGAAGAAGAAAAAATAATGGCGTCCGCTGCAAACTGCAGCGCTTTAAGAAGTGAGGGAGGAGAGCAGCGGGGGCGGAGGGAGTGAAAGAGGCGTGGCCTGGAAGAGTGAAAGCCTTACATTTCTATGATTTATATACCTTAAAATTTTTTCATTACTGACAAAAAGGAAAATTTCATGAAAATGGCAACTTATCCGGAACAATAGACTGGAAACTGTCATCACTACTAGCCCAGGAGCGATGACCTCAATCGGCTGTCATCTATAAAATGGGAACATTGTATGAATAAAATTACATAACTGATGCTAAACGTCTCCATAAACAGCATAACAAAAGACGTTTGAGTTTAGTTTGGTTTTGAAAAAGATTGAATGCGGTAGAGCTTTGTTATGTTAATGAAGTTTTTAAATGCGCTCGTCAGCCAGAATGTTGAACTCACCATCAAAATTTTGAACCAAAGAACCAAAGAAGGGTCTCGAACGTTAGAATCTTCTTCAAGGGACTTTCTCCTTCATTCTCTAATGTGATGAAGCTTTATTCCTCTGTTTACAGATTAGGAAATAGACTCCTATAAATGGTACATTATGTACTTGAAGTTACACCATGATTCTGAGTCAATGTATTTTCTGATCCAGCACTCTGTCTTTTGTCTGGCTCCTGATCATAAGATACTGGAAAAAAGTGCTTATAAGTCAGATGGTGATCAAAAGAGAGAATGGAAAGAGGAATTTCACAGAATGTCAACTTGGTATCTAAATAATCAAGAGTACTATTGGTGACATGTATCACACAACTCCTAGATAGTCAAAGGATACTTTGCCCTTGTACTAACTGAACTGGAAAGTGGTACCATCAAGCAAGCATGTCCTCCGGTCTCCAGATAAATAATAAAGTATACAAACATTCTTAAAGTTCTATTTTCTAAGTGTTCTTGGTTCACAGAGAAGAGTAATCTCATTTGTCATTTCATATGAGACATTTCGTTACAAAAGCAGTACTCTTGAGGAGATGATGTTTAACGCAGAGAGAATTGAATCATATAATTTCATTCTGGAAGATAATTTTCTACAGGAGCCTTCCTGAACACCGAAAAAATAAACTATGGAGCAAAAGCCTACAACAACTCTTGCAATGTGATTCCAACCTAATTTAAACCTTCACAAATTTCATCATATAGATTGGTAAATTGAGATTGAGGAATGTTGATTTCTCTGATTTTGTTTTTAAAAAGGTAGCAGCATGAGGATCCCAGAAAAGAAAAATACTTGGATTCAGATGACTTTGTTTGTACTTTAGTGAAATAACATTGTTGACGAGACTACCTTGTGTTAGATCTCTCTGGTGAGAACTGTGGGATTTCTACGGAATTTAACATCACTGTAATTATGAAAAGTATATTTGAAAAATAACGATACCTGCAGAAGGCAGTAGCTACAACCACTTTGATATCACTCAGTGATCAAGGAAAAAAAAAAAAAAAAACGATTATGTATACATAGTATTCTTTCAGCACCTGAGATCTCAGCCCAAGCTAACCAGGAGGACCTAAAAAGCAAACCGACTACCACCAGCAGCAGTATTATCAGGGCACTGGACCAGTCTTAAACTTCTTTGTATACGCCATGAAATAATAGTATCACTAGGAATCTGACCCCACTATAGAACTGAACCTATTTCAGCTTATTGTGTCTTTAACACAGGCAACCTATTATTAAGGTAACTAGGTCCACCAAACATAGCTCCATTGAATAGAAATTTCTAGAATTGTGGAATTATTCTATACTTTTCAGACCTTAGGTTACGGAAAATTTTCTTAACACTCAAAGAAGCATCAACTACAAAAAAAAAAGATTTTATGAAGTTGAAACATTTTGTTCCTCAAAAACAGCCTAAAAAGGTGAAAAAAACGAGAGCTATAAACTGGTTGTCCCAGGGTTCAGCGGCCAGGCTAGCAAATCACTTTCATGGATTATCACAGTAGTATCTTTCATGAGATCGAGTAAGATTAAGCTGCTGAAATGGTAACACGATGATTTTGGGTGACTCTCACTTCGGACACAGGATATCTTCAAGCTCTAGGTTACCAAGGTATACTGCCGATAACCTAATCTAAAAGAAGTGCAGCAACAGTTTTGTTACCTTTTTCTCCTACTGGAACGTATTAGATTAGCCAGACATGGCGCATTTAATTTTTTTAAATGAAGGAATGTTTTTCCAGACATGAAAAGAAAGAGATGGTGTATGGACATTATGAAGAATTTACAGCTCCTGCGTCTGCCACCAACAAGCCATCCAGATTGAGGAAGACCCGGAAACTTCGGGGCCGCGTGAGCCGCAGCCACAGCCGCATTAGCAAAGCACAGAAAGTACCCGGGAGGCCAAGGTGCTGTTGGTGGTACGCTTCATCATAGGATCAACTTCGACAAATATCATCTGGGTTACTTCGGGAAAGTCGGTATAAAGTATTACCACTTAAAGAGGAGCCAGAGCTTCTGCCTCTGTCAACCTTGATAAACTGTGGACCTCGGTCAGTGAGCAGACACACAGGTAAATGCTTCCAAAAACAAGACTGGAGACGCTCTCATTACTGACGTGGTACAAGCGGGTTACTACAACGTTCCGGGAAAGGGATAGCTCCCAAAGAAGCCTGTCATCCTGAAGGACAAAGTTCTCCAGCAGATGAGCTGAGGAGAAGATGAAGGGCGTTGGAAGGGCCTGTGTCCTGGTAGCTTGAAAAGCCATATGGAGAGGAGTTCATTAAATGCTCACAAGTACTTTTGTAAAATAAAATAATCTTCACATGAAATAGATAAGTATCTCTTCTCTGTCCATTATTCTGAATCTTCATTGTTACATTACCTCACCTCGCGTGGGTCCATGAATTTCATAACGTATAGTGGTACCTCAGTACTCCTTGTTAATTTGTTCCGGAACTTGTGACATGTGCCAAAATCCACGAATACCGAATGACAAAGCATTTTTTCTTGCGGGGCGGCGTCATGACTCATACAAGTTTTAGCCAGTGCGACCAATTCCAAGCGAAGCGTCGAGTGCTGAAACACTTTTTTCTCACCAGAATGCGACAAGTATGGGGTTTGATGAGTTCTGAAGCCGATGAGTATCGAGGTATGACTGTATTTTAATCCGGTTACTTATATAGAAAAGACTCCCCCGCAAAATTTGCCGAAGATCCTGCATCATTTTGGGGAACAGTCTTGCTCTCTCTTGACATTTATCACCTTCAGGCTTTACATAATCAAAATGTATTACATACAGCAGGAATTATGTGGGAAGAAAAAAAAAATCAAGTCCTCTTTTGAAAAGATTGCAGTTAACTTACCTCCAGGCTTGTCACTTTGTTAGCCTATGCTTCCTCTCTGATGGAGTTCAAAAAAATGGTAGGAATTACCTGATTTAGCCACCAGATGGCAGCATGAAATTATTAAAGAAAATAACCCTGTAGGGAAAGATCCAAGGTCATCACGCCAGTTCAGTACCAAAAGAAAGAACAAAAAGTACTCAACTTCCTCTTATTTGAACAACCCCCTCCCCCTCAGTGGAAGTTTGGCTTTGATGCAGTGCCATTTAAAGAGGGCTTTGATAAAGCATTCAAAAATCAAATTAGCAGGCTAATGGGGGTCATTATCACTGAAATGCAGTTAAAGGAACAAAGTAGGGGGAAAAAAGAATCCTTGAGGAAGGGCCCTTTACAAGCATAAGCACTGTCTGCAATGCAGAAAGAGATGATTACCCTTGTTGTGTGCATCTCTATATAAATAAAGTTTTCTGAATACTCTAATCTGTCCAAAAGTTTAACAGACTACCTTCAGAACTGGTAAAATGCCAATCCCTGAATGTGTGCAAACCAATTATGGATTTTGTGGGGATGCTATGAAGATTATCATCAAATAGTAAAGTTGGGCCACATGCCCTGTAACAATCTTCTACCTAGCTCAAGAGCTTATGAATGTTCTCAGAGTATTTGGAGAATTCCCCTAATCCTGCCCCACCACACACATATTTATGGTGTCTTTCAAGGATATATTAAGAAGTTGGGGCAGGTTTTTGTTTATTAAAAAAAGAACATGGAATTATACATGTCAAAGCTCAATGAGTATACACTTAATAACTGAATTTCACTATGCATAATATAAACTTTATATCGAAGTTTAAAATCTTATAAAGTAATATTGAATTCTATTCATGACATACAAATGGAAGTGTCAGAGTGTATATGGAAGCCTGCAATTCACTTTAAAATACATCAAAGCATAAGATGGGTTAATGGATTGATAGATAAGTGGTTATATGATTAAGAACAAGTATAATAGCATGTTAATGGTAGAACTTATGTGGTGGGTCTTCACTGTACTATTCTTTCATCCTTGCTACAGGATTTAAAATTTCCATAATCAAAATGAAATGTTGGGTGCAGGTGACATCACTGAGAAGAAAGAAGTGGGGGCTCCAAGGATTCATCATTCACTGAACCAAACATTAAGCTGGGAAAAAAAACATCAGAATCAACTTTTTCAGAACCCTAGAATCTAACAAAAAATAACTAGAGCAAGCAGAGGAGTGCTTAGGGAAGAAAGACTGCTAAAATACAGTAAGAGAAGATTGTGGCATTTTTGCTTACCAACCTACCACTCCCCATTTCCTAGCTGAGCTGCTCCTGTGCAGACGGCAACCTGCACTGCTGCTGTGGTTTTACTGGTGCCAGAGGGGACAATTATAGACCTTTTTCTGTATTTCTTTTAAAAAATAACAAGCACTACTACAACTTTACAGATACAGTACTATTATGATCAATTGAAGGCTAAAATTTTAGGTAACCTAAGTGGAATGGCCAAATTACAACAAACATACAAACTATCAAATCTGGCCCAAGAAGAAACAGAAAACCTGGACAAGCCTATACCAAATAAGGAGATTAAGTCAATAACATAA